ACCTCACCATGAATCCTTCCTAACCAACATCACCACTAGTGTCACCCACCACAATCGTCATCATCATGCTGCCACCACCACTGCAATTGCTAACACAACACCATTGTTACCACAACTATCAACATCATTGTTATCAATAATTGTGCCAATGGTGGTAATTATAGTGATGACAGTGATAATGATGATAATGTTAACGATAATAATAAAGATAACTATATGGTGATGGTTCATGGTAACTTTATTTGTAAATTTTATTTTAAATTATTTATTTCATTTTATAGGTTGAGATTGAACATTCTCATTCCCATATTAAAATGACATTCTCATAATATATGCTCTATATACATATTGCAAGAATAACTCTTTCTAGAGTTATTGCATTCAATAATTCACTATCTACATAAAATTTTAATGTTCCAATCGTTAAATTAAAAAATTTTAATGAATAGATCAAATTTACAAAACTTGAAAAATATATAATACTTCATTACATAGATTCAAATTAATGTATATTATACTTTTATGAATATACATTGATTTGAATTAATGTAATAAAATATCAAATAATTTTTAAATTTTATAAAAATTTATAAACTTGATTTATTTAATGTAATAAAATATTAAATAATTTTTAAATTTTATAAAAATTTATAAACTTGATTTATTCATTAAAAAATTTTAATTTAATAATTAGATCATTATAACTCAATATAAATCTTAAGTTACTGAGTTTAATAATCTAGTTGTGAAGTAAGAGAATTCTTCCGCACACGAGCATGCACACGCAAAAGTTATGATTCGTGCATCTCATCCTCATGCTTCTTCGATTTAGAGTATTTAGTCTTAGCTCAATTATGTCTGACAGTTTTGTTTCAGCATTCTCTTCAAGAAGCGAATTCTTTTATCGCTGACCAAACATAGTGTTTGTAATCAAGTCTCATTTACTGTTTTTCAGTTTTGTCCATCTATTATGAGTATCATAGAAACATAAGGTACACCACAAAAATAACCTAAATCTACTATTAAAACTAAGAACTGATAAAAGCTACTATACGAATAATTCAGATTTTAATTGATACTTCCATATAATGTAAACCTTACATTAATAACAAATTTAATGAATGATAACCCTATGTCTCATCACACTATTAAAAAAGTGTCATTTTTCTACGAATTTTCCTGAAAAAAATATTTGCAGAATTTTTTTGTGAATTTTCCTGCAAAAAAAATATTCGCAGAAATTTTTTGCGAAAAATAATTTATAGATATTTCTTACAAATTTTTCTATAATTTTAATGATCATAGAAATTTTTTTCCATAGTAAAAATTTACAGAAAATATTGTAAGAATTTTATTTTGTTTCTTGTAGATTTTCTTGCAAAAATAAATTCGCAAGTAATATTTACTAAATGGTAGAAACATTTTGCAGGTAACTTTTCCTGTAGATTTTCTCACAAATTTTAATCCGCAAGAAAAAATATTTAAATTTATAAGTTTAATATTTTAAAAAAACTCAAGTCACATCGATTGAAAATAAAACAATTAAAGAGTATATAAGTTGGGGCAACAGTTACCTTATAAGTTGATTTGTATGATTGAGTGTTAGGCTTATAATCTACAATCTTAGAATTTAAAAGATTATGTATCACATGTTGGAGGCATAGAAACAAATGCTTCAGATAAATTCATTGTGAGCATTTGAAAGTTGAAGAATTATTAATAGGATTTATAGTAATTTCTTTAATTTTTTTCGTAAAATATATTCTTGCAAAATTTCTTGTAAAAAAATTCGCAGGAAACTTTTCTCCGAATTTTCTTGCGAATTCTTTTTTGCAGGAAGCTTTCCTGCAAAAAATTTTTGCAAGAAACTTTCCTGCGAATTTTTTTTACAAGAAATTTCACAGGAAAATTTCCTATGAATTTTAAAATTCGCAAAAATATATTATCCACGAAGGTATTACCTACAGATAAAATTTCGCAGAAAAATTTGTAGGAACAACGTTTCCTGCGATTTTTTCAGAAAAATTTGCAGGAAAAATCTCATGTAATAAGAGAAATTATAGTAATGTCCGGGTATATTTAAAATGTAAATAAAACTAATATTAAAAAATAAATATAATAATATTTTAAGATCACTCTATACAATCTTTAAGCCACTTAATTAACTTTCTTCTTTCGGAGTCTCTAAGTTCATCCTATTATTGCTGCTAGGTTGAATAGGAACCTTTCTCAAAGTTTTGAGAATAAATATAAAACAATTTTGAAAGGTTGAAATTTATTGGGGGAATTTTCTTAATGGCCAATGAGATGTTGGTATTAGAATTGGTGAGAGGCATGAGTAGAATATTGATAAAATAGTGGAAAAAAGACTTTTAAGATCAATTATTTTTTATTTTTAAGATTGGTTAAAGAATTGATCTTAAAAGAAATGATCTTAAAAGCTAGAATTTTAAAATCGGTTAAATAACTGATCTTAAAAGTATAGCTTTTAAGAAGAATAATGATGGCCAATAGAGGGTTGCTTTAGGCAAAACATTGTCAGGGATGAAAATCATGCGTTCAGATAAGATTCATGGAGTAAGGAAGACCGAGAGAGGGAGGCATGTGCTAGGGAGAACGAACAAGGGGGAGCGGTAAAGGCACAATGGACTACATTTTCCAATTAAGGGAGACCAAGTAAGGGAAGCGCGCACGAGAGAGAACAATCTTAGGAGAACGACGGAGGCGTGAGGGGTGCATTAGCAAAGCGAGGGAGAATGATTAAAACAAGGAACAACAGAGCGACGGAGGCGCAAGGGGCTACCTTTGTGAAGTGAAGGAAGTGTGCGTGAGGGAGACTGATGGGGGAGATGGAGGCGCAAGGGTGTGCCTGTGTTCGCAGAGCAAGGTAGGTCAAGTAAGGGAGGCGCATGCTTCGAAGAATGATTAAGGGAGAGCGTTGCGTTTTTTAAATAGTTACAGTACTTTTAAGATCGGTTAAATTTTAGCCGATCTTAAAAATACTTTTAAGATCGGTTCTTCTATGGCCGATCTTAAAAGTTATGTCTGATACAACTTTTAAGATCGAGTATTAAAAGAACCGATCTTGTATACCACTTTTAAGATCGGTGCGTTTGTAACCGATCTTAAAAGTTGTGTCAGACATACATTTTAAGACCAGTCATAAAATAACCGATCTTAAAAATATTTTTAAGATCAGTTAAAATTTAACCAATCTTAAAAGTGTTCACATTATTTACAAAATTGTCACCACGTCACTATTAAGATCGGTTACCTCTTAACCGATCTTAAAACCTCGATTTTAAAACTAATTTTTGCACTAGAATTGTACTTATATAGTGAATGAGAGGCTTTGATTGTAATGTTATGAAAGGAAACTTGTTTTGTTTCATGTGAAAAAGAAAAGATACACAAATTTTATTAAGTTTGGATGAGTAAAATTCTTTTTTAGGGGTATAAATGGAATGGATGGTTGGATGGCGGGTAGAGTTGGTTCTGTAAAAGGTAGGGTGGTCAGGGAGCATTCATGTGAGGGCAAAACATGGGAAAAAGTGGCATTGTTGTTACTTAATTTGGGATGAGGAGAATAAAATGGCTTGCTTGTTTTCTCTCAAATGAAGGCTTTGGTTTAGTGTGGTGATGGGTGGTTATGATGACGGTTGGTGTTGTGAGAAAAGTTAGATGGTGGAGATGTATGGTGATGAGAATGTGAGAAAAGCTGATGGAGAAAAAAATAAAGGTCTTGAGGAGTTGCACCCACCGATGTTAAGTGTGCATGTAGTAATGGGATGTGATTGAGTTTTGTGTGGTGAAGGGAAATCATTAATGTCTTAATTTACAATACAAATCTTAACAAACCTATCTAATGAATCTCTCTACATATATCACCATCTAGTATTTTTTAGGAAATAAAAATAAAAATAAAATTAATACATAAATACCATCTTATAAAATATGTAAGTTACTTAATTTTTCTTTTTTTCTCAGTCTCTTCGAACCAACTTGTGAATTTTGTTCTATAAATTTATCCAGATTATACCTTTTTTATTTTTATATATAAGAATTTATTAAACTCAATGGATCTTGTTAAATTAAATGTCATTTGATTTCAAATGAGTTGCAGGCTATGCTACTAGCTGGAACAGACACACCAGCTCTGACCATAGAGTGGGTAATGTCTGAATTATTGAACAACCCCGAAGTATTAAAGAAGGCAAAGGATGAAATAAACACTCACATTGGAAAGGATCGTTTGGTAGAAGAACAAGATTTGCCAAAACTTTCATACCTTCAAAACATAATTTCCGAGACATTTCGATTGCATCCTCTAGCACCATTGTTATTGCCACATGAATCTTCAGAGGATTGTACAATTGGAGGATACCATATTCCACGAGGCACTATAGTGTTGACTAATGCATGGCTTATTCATAGAGATCCTATACTTTGGAGTGATCCTACAAGTTTTAAGCCTGAAAGATTTGAGAGAGAAGGGGAAGTGAGCAAGTTAATTACATTCGGGTTAGGGAGAAGGGCTTGCCCTGGACTGGGCTTGGCCCAGCGTATGGTGGGCTTCACAGTGGCATTACTAATCCAATGCTTCGAATGGAATCGAGAAAGTGAGCAAAAAATTGACATGGTGGAGGATAAAGGGCTCTCCATGGCAAAGCTAATTCCATTACAAGCCATGTGCAAATCACTGCCTATTGTCAATAACATTATGAAGAAATTAATTAATTAATTAATTAGTATCTTTTACTAATAGTAGAATTTGTAGTGTTGTGTGATGATAAAACAAAGTGTATTTTTCAGTGTTTTTGGGGACGTGAGTAGCGTAGCATGTAATCGTGCCTTTCTTGTTATCTTTAGTAATTGTAGTGTTATGTGATTATAAAATAAATGTGCATTGTCTGTTTTCAGTGCTGAAGGGGCGTGAGTAGCATGTATTTTAGAGCCAAATGTAATGATTCATCGATGGATACTTAGCATATTTTAATCATTGCTTTGAAACAAAACTTTTCACACTAAGGAGTAAAGACCATTGTTTTGAAAAGAAAATTTGCATCTCAAAAGAGAAAGATGTCTCTTGGAAAAAGTAGTTAGCTTTCCAAAGGACAAATTGATCAACTCATAGCCCTACTCGCTTGAGAATTGATCAAACCATATATTGGTTGATGAAACAATATTAAAGAGAAGAATAGATCTAAAGGGTCTTGTTAAAGTGGCCCTGCCTAGTAGGGGAAATGGCTAATGTCAAATTAATAGGAGAAATAAGGATTGATAGACAAAATTCTTTGAAGAATGTTATATATTTGCCTAATTTTAGTTGCAATTCAGTTTCCATAATTAGCAAGTTGACTGGGGAGTTGAATTTTTTTTCTTTTTTGTTTTTGTAGTTGTTAACCAAGTGGTCTCAACAACTCAAGAGGGAAGGAAGAATTGAATTATAATTAAAAACTATTCTTGCTCTAAAAAACTTTAATTTTAAAGAACCATGTATGCAGAACTCACATAGTGCTCTCCGGATTTATTCAGCTCTCCACAACCACTTATCCTCCTCTTCATCTCTCAAACTTAAGCTTTGAATAATTGCTTCAATTTCTTTTAATTGGGCATGTTCCCATTGAAATACTCTCTTCTCCAACACCATTCCCTCACCCCATCCACACATCCCACTACATCCACAATCCTCTCATTTTTATCCATTGTTATATTATATAATCTGAAAAACTTCTCCATAGGCCTTTCTTCCTCCGCCCTACTATATCTTCTCATAATAATGTGTCCTTCCCATTCCCAACCCACCTACAAATGTTTTCTAACCGTTACACTGCAGTTACATTCTCTTCTTTTATATTTTTTTCTTTTCCAATTTTATCTTCTACTAAAATATTGTTGGAAAGGTCGCACAATTAATTGTATGAACAAAAACATCAAAGAAAAAATAGAGAGAGAGAGAAAAACATTTGATAAAATGAGTATTTTCTTTATTAATAACTAGTATAAAAAAAAGACACTACTTGCCTCAATTAAAAAAGAAAGAAAATAATAAATTTATTCTTATAATTTATACGATTATTAAAATTTAACTATTAAGAATAATCATAAAAATATTTTATATATTGATTTGATCGAATTAATAAAATGAAGTATCAAATGATTTTCAAACTTTCTTTAAAATTTGCAAACTTAATCTATAGATTAAGAGCTATAATTTCAATGGTTGAATTATTGAAATTTAATGTAGAATATGAGTTATTGAACTGAGTAAGTTTAGGTAGACTTACTCGTAAAGTAAATGGATCCCTCCTCACTATCTCTCTCTCTCTCTATATATATATATATATATATGTTTAATTCATTCATATTTCATTTTCTCTTAGAAATATGAATTAAACTTAACTTATGTGGAATAGGTTGGTTCGATTAGGGTCACACCACAAAAAATTACACATATAGTGACATACAAAAAGTATCATCATAGGTATAATATATGTAAGAATCTATTTAAGTTATACCCACACACAATTCTAATATTGATTTTGATTGAGATTTAACAATATATTTTATATATCATTATAGTCTGTAATTACACTTTTTAATAATATACCAATATATTGTAACTATAATGTAAGTAATAAAAAAAAATAGTAACAAGTGTTATCTCATTCTTAAGTGTGTCATTACATGACAATTTACAATTTTTTTGTAATGTCATTTGTTTCGATATGCCTAAAAAAATTTCAATCACTTAGGAATCGAAGGCTAGTTTATAAACATTTTCCTTCGTTAATCCACCGAGACGTCTTTTTAAGGACAAAATCATGATGGTTCAATGAATGTTAAAACAGACAATACCTTGAATGCAATGACCCTAATGATGACAACGAACTTACGGTCAGAACATTGGTACTAAAAGGAAGGTCTAGGTTACTCTTGCCCCTTAGTTTTGACTGGGAAGTTTGTTCCGATATGCTAAAAACAGTCAAACATTGCTTAGGAATCGAGATTAAAAATAGTTTATAAATATCATCTCTCCTTAATCCATTGAGACACTTTTTTTAAGAACAAAATTATGATGGTTAAACGAGTCTCAAAGTAGACAATACCTCAAATGCGGTGACCCTAATGATGACAATAGACTTACGGCTAGAACATCATTAAATAACTAATAAAAAAATATTATTTTAAAATTTAAAAATAAACATGATTTTCCCTCAAAATTTACATGTAATATTGTCCCAAAAGAATATAAATTATATATCTAAATTTAATTGAATTAAACTAATTCTATCATAAATTATAAAAATAATAAATAAATAATTGATTAAATTATATTACTCCATCTATAATAATAGAAAGAAAACTAACTAAAAGAAGTGAGAATTTCAAATTTTTTATTGTTAAGGTTTATTTTTTAAACTTCGAATTTGAAACAAAATACAAATAAATTCTTCAAAGTTAAACACAATATATATTTACTATGTTAATCAATAAAAAATAATAATACATAAATAGTTAATTTGATTCGAGTTTAAAAATATGAACCTGATCCAATCAAGATTAAATTTGATTTGGTACGGATCTAATCCATTATCACCCCTACACATTAATTGTCTCCTTTTATTAGGTTAGTTTCCCTCCCATCCAGCTTTTCAACATATGAAGTGCAGCTTTTGGTTGATCCATAGGAACCATGTGGCCAGCCCCATGAACCTATTGTAGTATCATAATTAAAAAAGTTACCAAATATGTAGTATCACAATTAAAAAAGTTACCAAATATGAAATTAACAGAGTCACACTCAAAAATACATTACTGAACACAAACCTTGATGAAAGAGAGAGGTCCATAGTTGTTCACAGACCCTACTTTTGCACCATCAACAACAAATTTCACAGTAGGAGATGTTCCAAAGGCCTTTTGACCCGACCACTCCATGGCATGAACCCACCTTAAATTTCCTGTCGAATGAGAACCACATTAAGAACTAAATAATTTGACAAATACATTACTTTTCAACTCTCAAAATTTGGCTTTAAACCCAATTCAATTCTAAAAGCCAAATCATAAAATGGAAATTGCCACACATATATACATATGGTCAAATCTGTATACTCTATGATCTCAAATTAATGAAAATTTACATTCAATAATTTTTTATAGAATACAAATATATTTGATCCAACTATTATATTTGATGATATTACGGTGATAAACATGTATATATTTCAAATGATTTAGATTTTTTTATATATGTTATTTAACCATATATATTTACATGTATTTTGAATATCATTTTATACATTGAAATAAAGTGATATAATACACTATCAAATAATTTTAGAATTGTATGCAATTCTTTATACTTGATTTAAACATTAGTAATATCATCAAATTCAATAATTAGCTTATTTGAATTTAAGTTCTATAAAAAATTATTAAAAATATCATTTCACTAATTTAACAATACGGTGTCAAAAGATTCTAATTCACACATATATATATATATATATATATAAACACTTACACATACACGTACTATTTTAATCATATTAGTAATTAATGTGAGATTACCAATATATTTTAACTCTCAAAATTTAACAATCGAACATCTCTAAATAATCCTCCTAAGGTACAAGAATGAATAACTTAATTATTAGGTCCAACAACTAATTAACAAGTTAGATTTTAATGTTATTATAAAATTTGAATTTAGATCTAACACGATCCTAAAATGTAATTCATAATAAGATGAAAATTACTCTTCACTTATATATATTATTATCATATATATAATATATATATATATATATAGATATATATTATTTTAGACAATTCACTATGGCATTTTCAACATCACCACAAAAACAATAGTTCCAAATGAATCAAGTAGGCTCACCAAGCCAATTGCATAAGAGATCTTCTTCCCCTGCATACACAAGCATCTTGATTCCATCCTCAAGAAGAGCAGGAATCCCCACTTCCAGGTTTCTCATCCAATCTTGAACCATAGCATCATACACTATTCCACTGCATGAAACATACTTCAAGTAATCTCCCACGCCTAAAGCTCTCTTCACTTTCGGCAAGTTTAACAAAGTCTCCACGTTTTTAAAGTCATAACACAGATCTCCTACACATTTCTTTCTGATGTCATAGTACTGCAATTTGAATATCAACAGAATGCAATGAGCAAAACTAAACTGAGAAGGATAAAGAAAAAGGTATTGTTCTTTCTTAAATACTTACATTGATGTCACCAGCAATGGACATGATACTACTCAATATGCCATCACAAATATTAAATGCAGTCTCGCAACTTTTTCCACCTTGAGTTTCTGAAATAAAAAATAAAAAATAAAAAAACAAACAAACAAACAAACACAAACAACATCACAAAGTGAAACAATGTAAGTAAAAAGGAGTGTGTGTGGGTGATAAAGGGAAAAGAACTCATGCATCACAGTGTGGTTGTACCGCATGTTTTAGCGGCTTGTTCACAGTGTGGGATTGACTTGCTGATGTTATCATAATCAGCCTTCGTAATTATTCTTTTGTCTAATGCAAAATCTGGGTATGCTTGATATTGAATCATAGGATTTGTTAGTCCATTACCAATAGCAAAACCCTGAAATGAATCAATACCAGCAAAAACAAGACAAAATAATTAATTAATCAACCTTATCAATCTGAATATAAATTATATTAGCATAGTGTAAGACCTTGAGGTTTATATGAATTCCTTGATTTTTTTTATTTCCTTGGTTAACCCGCGATGCAAGAGCTGGAATATAGTGTCCAGCGTATGATTCTCCAGTAATATAAAAGTCATTCTTAACGAACTCAGGATGCGCCTTAAAAAATTCCTGAAATTATAGTAAAATCAATTTAGTGGGTATCTTATTTGTATTATCTTGTATTCGGATAATTGAGATGAAAAAGGGACTATATATTTATTACCTGCAAAAAGTCATATAAATCATTACTAATGCCCGCTTCATCATGACGAATGTCACTATTATCATAAGAATAACTAAAACCTGTCCCAGTGGGTTGGTCTACAAATAAAATATTTGATGTCTGCAAAATGAGAAAAGTTCAGAAAATAACTTGTTAATGTGAATTTTTTTTTTTTTTTAACAACTAGATTCTCAAATTTAACCAATGACATATATGTCTGCTTTATGGTTGAACTGCCCGCACACACACTTTCCATAAAGAAAACATGATTGGCAATTGATAGTAATTACCTGGTCCCAGCCATAATCGTTCCACATAAGAGACAAGTTATTGGCAATATGAAAAGGGCCATTCTCATAAAACAAAGCCAATTCACTTCCACACCCTGGTCCTCCAGTCAACCATAGGACAACAGGATCATCTTTGTTGCTCCGTGATTCAAAGAAAAAGTAGAACATCCTTAATGTCATGGGAAAAAAGTGGAAATTCAAATAAGAATTACACAATAGCAAGTAAATAAAAGGACAACATTTAAATTAACTATTTAAAATGAAAATACAGAACTTTACTTAATTGAAGAATTCCAAATCAATAATTATGTGATCATAATTATACTTAGAATTAGCCAAATTTACTGATAAATACAATTGTAAAAACACTAAAAACCTGTAAAATGCTGTGATGTGACGATATTACGCGTATGACGAAATTAAATTTGATCCACATTCCACATGCAAATTGCTTGTAGAACAATTTGTGATACCTTAAGATCTGTGCTCATTTCTTTATAGATAAATATATAGAAATGAAAGAAAGGTGTGTACTCACTTAGAAAATATCACGCCATATAGAATAGATTAAAAAGCCGAAAAAAATAATGGTGAGTAAACCAACATGCATATAATAGTAGCTACATGAGAAAAGGAATAAAGGGTGCAGCAATGGTTGACCTTGATTAATCATTATGATGTAAAAAAGTTGTTTTTTCTTTGTTTGTTTTCTTTTTGCAAAGAGCTGACTCATCACATGACATTTACTCTAAATCTCTTCACTTCTTTAGCCATTCCAGACAGCTAGCATCTCATTGGAATAATGTGGAATAGTGACATAATGATATCAGATGAGAAGATATTTACCTTGCAGCTATGGAATTAGGAAGTGAATAATAGCCTGCATGGTGACCAAGGTCTTCAATAGAAGGTCCAGAATCACCAAGAAACGAGAACTTCTTCTCCACGATCTTTCCTGGGACGAAACCAGCAGCAATATCACATTTAATAACGTTTACTTGGTCCTTTGGGAATAGGTTAAGGCTTCTTATGAGTCTCTCTGCTCGTGATTGTGGAGGGTAGGCACGGACATGGATGAGGCGAGAAGTTGCATTTGAGGAAGAAAGTGATGCGAAGAAGAGGAACACAAGAGACAAGGAGAGTTTGGAGAGGGTTGGTGAAGATGCCATGTTGTTTACGTTTGTGAAAATGCGTACCAGTTGTTGTGAATTTATAGCACTCGCAATGCGAAGCCATTCCCCACCTCTTTTCAACGTATAGTATTTCGGAAAACTATAATGATATAGTATTTCATTTTCTAGTAATCATGTACTTGTTTACATTCATTCTTCTATTGACTTGACACTACAAGAAAATTGTAACATGCACCTTATAGTGATACTATACATGTCATTAAAAATTATTTTTACCCACACAATAATTATAATATATGTTGGTATATTATTAAAAAGTGTGGGTATAGACTATAGTGATACACGAAATATGTTGTTAAATCTTATTCAAAATCAATACTAATTAAAATTGTGTGTAATTATATATCAAATAGACATATACCTACATATATTGTACCTATAGTGACACTTTTTATATGTCACTATATGTAACATTTATTGTAATGTGTGGTATTAGAAATCATGTAATTTTTTGGGGGAACGCATTGTAGATTAAAGAATTCCTTTTTCTTTTAATGTGAATAAAGTATAGTAATTCTTTTATTGACTTATTATTGTTTTTTTTTAATTCACTTGACTTGAGTTTGAATCTTTCTTTATTTAAATTAAGTGCATTATTTTGATTAATGACTAGTTCATTTTGATAATCTTGTATGAGATGGTTTGAGAGAAAATGCAAGTAACATCATAGTATGCCCATACATCCCACTACAAAAAATATGCAATTTAGCGACCACCAAAATTGGTCGCTAAATTGTAAAAATCGGTCGCTATTTACCTTAGTAACCAAATTTAATCAGGCGCTAAAACCTTGGTCGCTAAGCTATTTAGCGACAAAAAAAATTTTGGTCGCTAAATAGTTGCAATGATTTTGGTCGCTGAAATGTATGGGACCAAATTAGTGACCGAATAAATCGGTCGCTAAATATTTATTTATTTTATTAAATTTTATAGACGTCACAAATTTGATTGCTACGAACCACTCATATTTAACCTCTTAAGGATTTTATTTCACAATACTTAACTTTTTAGCATGTTTTGTCCTTAACTACACAATTTTTGAAAACTTATCAGCACCCATCCCTATATTACTCCAAGTCAAGCACGCTTAACTGTGAAGTTCTTATGAGATAAGCTACCAAAAAGCAGATGCATGTTGTTAGTATAAGTAGTACAAATTAATTCATTTAAGTCATCCTCAACTATCCAATCTTATAATTATATTATCTTTGGATCCTTATCATTTTGGTGTATCCGGACCGTTATAAATATATAATAATTATATTACTAATAATAATAATTATATTATATTTAATTAATCTTTATATATACTTACTTTTATAATTAACAATCAACTTATTTCTATTTAAAATTAATTTTATAATACAATTTAAATTATTTATTATAAATTTAAAAGTTTAAGTAATAATTTATATATTTTAAAATGAGAAGG